CTAAAATTGCAAGGAAAAGTTAGATTGTTAGCAATACTCTGTATTTGTCAACTATCCAATCGAGTGTTGGTGCTCTTAAAGAGTAGGGCCTTCATCTTTTACCATCATTTTCCATTTCGTCTTTTCCACTCAAAAAACAAAATTATAAGAACACATTTCTTTAATGGGTGAATTTTGCGGTATTATTGAAGTTTTTTTTATGGCGATCAATATCTTTGATGCTTATCAGTCATGTGGAATCTTATTAGATTCGTCACGATGTATAATCTCAACAAGCTTTAAGAAAATTGCTAAAATTCTGGAGTTTTAATGGGCGAATTTTACTATTAAAACCTATGTTAACCATCAAAAACTTTAAAAGATGAGAGAAACACATAGGGGCGGCAGCGACAGTGTCTTTGCGACAACACTAGCGAGGGTATATGGTGGATGTGCTAGGAATAAAGAAGCTATGTGAGAAATGATGGGAGAGGAGAGAGGTTGGTGGCATTGGTGGGTATCGGTACTTGGTGTATAAATGGTAGGCAAAGAGAATATATTTACTGAACTTTTGTTTTTGCAGAATTGTATCTACTCAAACCAAACAACATAGCATATCAAAGAGAATCAAATTCCTTTCCCTCCCTAACCCTTTCCTGGTTACATTCCCTTTAGTCCTTTACCCTCTTTGAAACAAACGGCCCCTAATCTAGTGAAACTATTACAATTGGAAATTTAAGTAAATATAACCTAGTCACCTTAAGACCCACAAACACATCCATGTCTCCTCAGAGCACCACGGACATAGGAAGCATGTGGGATGGCCGAGAACGGACAAATGCCGGAATTAGAAAAAAAAAAAAAAAGATTAAGATTATTGAGAAGACTCAACTGCAACTTCATGTCACCTTTCTTGGATGTGGATGTGTCAAGTTGATTTTGCTGATATCCGAAAATTTCCAGATGTGATACGCTGACATGAACGTGTCAAACTGATCTTGCTGGGAGCTGGGGCAGAAACTGAAGCTTTAGGACATAGACTAGTAGTGCTTCATCTGCTCTCTTGTTCTAGCTCTTTACTTCTTTGATCTTTACCACCCCATATTTTCCATGCTTGCATCAACTAATTTTTGAATACCTAAAATTTCTCTAAATCAATGCAATCATGCGTGAATGGAAGCTTTATTTTGGGTTTATTTTTTCATTTGTTTTTGTGTTGCTACGATGGTGGTTGGGTGATTAAGGATATGCGGATGTTCGGAAAAATAAAAAAGGAATTTGGCTTTAGGTGTTAGAACATGCCCTCCCCCCCCCCCAAACACACACACGCACGCGCACACACAGAGAGAAAAAAGGAATATTTGGGCCTATTTCATTTGGTATATAAACTCTGTATTTTCCTCTCGCTTTCTTGTGGATGTAGCTAAAACAGTGCTAGTGAATCACGTAAATTTTTGTATTCTTAAACATTGATCTTTCTCACATCTGCCATAAAGTATGGGTTTTGGATCTTGTGATGGTGGTGGTGGTGACAGCAATGGGGCAATTTGGGCAGCTTGGTGGTGATTATCGTGATCTAGATGATTGCTTTAATGGGTTGGTGGAGGGTGTTGGGGTTGGTGTTGGTTAAGGTGGGTGATAGAGATTGGGGCAATGGTTAAGCAAAGGCATGAATTGAAATGGTACTCTCTTTTATATTTCCGCTGATTCCTAGAGTGAGGTTTTTCTCCCCGCGTTTGGGAACCCAATACCTTGGAAGTTTGAAGGATGACTTTCCAAGATTCCATTTTTTGGTGAATTAAAACAAAAGTCATGTGCGTTTGAAGTCTTGAATGATTGCAATCTCATAGGCTCCAAGCCTCAAAGTCATAGCTGACTCTCAAAAATAGCTGCAATAAACCCCCCTTAAATTCTCTAGAAATATGTACAAATAAGAACTTAGCACACACCTTCCCCAACCCACCCATCTAATCCCGCTCAAAGCCCTTTTCAATGGAGAAGTGATGATAGAAATTGTACTAGTTTATTTCATGCTGACTGGATTTCTGTTTGGTAGTGTATGTTGGATTCATAGTTGTGCTCTTAAGCCTAGTTCATTTTCTGCCAATCTGAATCGTCTTGCTTATAGTTTTACAATGTTTTGTATGTATTTCTCATGTATCTTTAAAGAGGTAACATAATTCTTTCTATTCTTCAGGTACTTGTCCATTGGTGACATAGCTCATGTTGGTGGTCACCCACCCAGTGTTGCCACTGTCTATCTTTATGATGGCCAATTGTTTGCACTTCCTCTGGGATTTGACCTGGTATGAACGATTTACATATCACACTGCAGTATCTCTTCTTGTTTAAATGACTCATATTGTAGAAAACATCCGTAACTTTTAGAAATATCTTATGCAGCAAAGTTTTGGGTGTAGGGGTATATGACATCTTTTTTAGCATCTCACTTTGGCTGTAGCCTTGTATGCAGTTGCTACTTTTTTCATTCATACTTCGTATTTAGCAACACCTCAGAACCAACTTCTTTCGACCGCTATTTGACATCTAGTTCCTTAGAATGTGAAATCACTGAACTTCTTGGTCCAAAGTAGTAGATTGGCACATATTTGTGGCTTATCATGCATTTCCTTTAGGCGGTAATAGAATTTCATCATTTACAGAACTAACACCTTTTAGTTTTTGATATTTATCTACTCTCTTGGGGTTGGTGTAGGTATGGAGAAATTGTGCAGACGATTATGTGACTCCAGCATCTATATGGCTTCCACGGGCTCCAGAAGGATTTGTATCTCTAGGATGCGTGGCTGTGCCAGGGTTTAATGAGCCTGAGACCAATGTAGTTTATTGTGTGGCAGAATCATTAGTTGAAGATGCGGAATTTGAAGGGGAAAAGATTTGGTCTGCACCAGATTCATATCCATGGGCATGTCACTTGTATCAGGTGCAGAGTGCTGCTCTTCAGTTTGTAGCTTTAAGACAGCCTAGGGAAGAGTCTGGATGGATACCAAAGAAGGTGCGTGAGGATGCGGCTTCTTCATCACAGTCATCTGAGACTTAATTTTTCTGTTTTACCCTTCTCTATTGATTCTTTTATTGTACATATGATATATTGGCCGGAATCATTGGCCATAGCAAATTTTGTCCCGTAGAAATCACGGAGCAATGTTTAAAGCTGCAAAAAATTGTGTGAGCTTTTATAATACGTGAGGGGTTGCTTTTGTAAATCAATTTTATGAGTATAAATCAATACATACATCAATGCATGTGTGGAACACACTTTGGTCAATCATAAAGTGATACATATACACAATATTTCATGTTTGTATATCATATGACAATTATATGATTCAGCTTTCTAAATTTCATAGTAATTGTGATGTAATACCTTTCACTACTTGTGCATGTACCAGATTTACTAACATTGTAATGAATTTTTATCAAATTATGGCAAAATTGTCATAAAATACCTTAGTTTTAACTCAATTTGTGAACTAGTACTTAGTTGTTTTTTTTTTTTTTTTTTTTTGGCCAACTAATACCTTGAATTAAATTTTCTTTTAAAAGTAGCATGTTAATCACAAAATCCGGTTAAATAGGCAATGCTCCGGCCATTGTCTTTCATTTTCTCGCTACGCTCTACTATTCCTGCTGTTTCACTAAGCATTGCACATAGTTTTAAGATAATAAATGAAATGTTGCAATTGTTATAAAACAAATATTATAAAAGAAAAGTGTTGCAATTATTATAAAACTAACATAGATGAAAAGTTTTGCGATTATTATTTATTACGAAAATAGAGAGAACAATAATTTAAAATTCAAAAAAAATTATATGACCAATCTTGGAGTGCAATAATTGAATCAAACATAGTCTTTGGACTTAAAAGATCTATGTATAGGTCTTTTATGATTCTAAACCAACTTATAAGATTATGGGGAACACCACACCCCGCAATTATGGCCACACATTCACTTTATTTTGAAAAAAAAATCCAATATTTGACCTAATGTGGATTATATAACTTTTAGTATTGAATAATTTTTTACTTTATTGGACCCGTAAGGAAATAAGTCGAAAAATTTTCCAAGACATCTCGGGAGGCCATTGGATTGTTGGAACTTGAAGACTTGGAATAGTCCACTTTCCCTTTAAACTATCCAAATCCAATCAAAATTAGCAATTTAGTCCACTTTCCCTTTAAACTATCTAAATCCAATCAAAATTAGCATTTTTTTTAATCACACTTTATTTCATAAATGGGTAACGATTTAACGTATATTGTGAAAAATACAGGTAGATATTAGTATATCTATATTATAATTGCAGAGTAAGTTCATGAGGTTTCTCCAAAACCTCAATCCTCAATTCTCATGCACTTCTCTTTTCTTTTTTTTTTTTTTTGCACTACACTCAAATAACTTCCACCCATTTTATAAAAAAATTATAAAAAAAAAAAAAAAAAAACCTCCAAATAACTACATTCCACTTCTACTATTTTTTTTTCCCTATTAACGCATACTATCTATTTTACTCAATATCACAAAAAAAAATATATATATATATATATATCTATTTTAATATATCATCCAACAATTCGCTTTTTATAAACCCCAAAATTACAAGGAATCTATATTATCATTGCACATTTTTTCCTAACTTTTTCGCATAACACATCCAAATCAATCTTTAAATTATGTATACTTCATTTAAAAAAAAATACAAACACCATAGATCCACTATTTTTCTTTTAAAAAAAATAACAAATGTATTTCTATTATATTTTTATAAATCACTCAATAACAACCTTTTTATTCCTTCAATAATTATCAAAATCAGAATAGCACGTTTCTTATATATCCCGTGCATTGCACCGGTATACTCTAGTTATACTTGATTACACATTATGTGTCCAAATAATAATTTGATAATCCGATTGTACCGTGGACACCTTCATATGAAGTCTTCGGATCCGGGTGCATGGGCATAAAGCATAGGGATGAGTCCATTTCCAGTTTCCATCATATACCAATAAATCAATTATTAACTACGACAACTAACACTACCTTCCGTTCTTCTTCGTTACTTCTTATCCATTATTTAAATCTCTACTTTTCAACTATCACTCCCTCTCTTTCTCTTTCTAAATCTTAATATAAAAGAAAAAAAATCACCCTTTTTATTAGTCACTTTCTCTATTTGTGGTACAATCAAAATAAAGACAATTCTGATAGTGAAGGATACCTCAAGTGGTTAGAGCTCCTTCCCCGATCCTGGGTGATCCTAGGATCAATTCTCATCACCCGTCCTTGTGTGCTTGTGGCTCTCTAAACACCAAAACAAAAAATAAAGACAGTTCTCATAAGAAAAAAAAAAAAAAAAAAAAAGCTTAATTTTTTAGAAAAAGAGAATCAATTATGGACGGTTTGATCAAGGGTCTCGTCGACGTCGCGATCGGCCACCATCGTCGCAACGACGACGAGGAGGATAACAACAACAACAACAACAGCAACAACTCTGAAGAAATAGAAGAACGTTCTAGATCCAGTTGGGCGCAGGTTAGCAGAATTACCCTTTTTCCTTGTTTAGTACTTTTAACATTATAATGGAATTTTGTAATGTATGAATTTTGATCTGATGATGGGAATTGGCTAAAATGCACAGGTGGTGTCAGGGGAGCAGGATAATGATCAAACTGGTCAACACACTTCTTATGCTGCTGCTGCTACTGTTGATCATACTTATCAATCTCAATACGTTACGCATGTATGTATTATTTAATTATTTGATTTTGATTTGGATAAGTTTTTAACGAAATAAAAAGGGGAATTTTTAATTTTAGGGACTAAAGTATAATCTGAAATTATGTGGATTAACATAATGATCTTTGTTATATGAGATTTCGAAATTATGTGAGATTATTGATAAAAGTATGGATGAAATTGTATATGCTGTACGAAATTTTGAAATTATGGATTTAACAGATTACAGAATGATCCATTCGAAATTGAACAATTAATTTGAAGTGTATAAATGCTTTTGTATACAAGTACATAAGTACATTATGAAGGAAGTAGTGATTAATTTTTGGAATTGAACAGAATGATCAATGCTGTTTGGAATTTTGATACTCCATTGTTGAATTAATTTTAAAATTAGTGATTTCTAACTATCAATCGTATCAAACTTTGCCAAATGTACGCCATTGTGTACGCTTCTAGAGATCATTTTATCATGCTTCTGTGATGCTTATTATTGGTGTTGTTTGTTCATATGGTTCTTTTAAGTTTGTTAAACCGAGAATGCTAGTGATTTGATCAAGTTATTGGTTAAAGATATGAGATATCAGTATGTTTATTCAACATATAAGTTGTCGATCTAATAATCATAATCTTACTTAAGTAATGTGAGTTTGCTAGAAGAATCAAAAATCTGAGTACAATTGTTCAGCCTTCAATATTTCACATCATGTCTGCAGCTTGGAGTGTAATCCTGAACTCTTAATCGCGGAAATCTGTCTTTCTTTGGATGCATTTGTACTTATGTGAGGCTTTGAACTTTTTTTTGGCATCTAGACTACGCATGAGAATTATCAACAAAATGAAGCTTATGAGAGGCCTAGTCATAACCGAAATGAAGAGGTTAGTTTTGTACTTTTGTCTGCTGCTTCATTGTGTCATTCACTGTAAGAAGTCAATTTTTTGTTATAAACTTTTCATTTTGATCTGTGTAGAATGAACAAGAGGAAAACTCTGATGGTTGGCAAACTGCTCACAAGAAGCACCACAAGCGGCCTCAAAGGGTATGGCACCTATAATATGCATCTTAATGTTACCCTACTTCATATTTTGATTTGCTTGTGGCAAAGGCATTCTCTTTTCATCGGTTTGGTGATCACTACAGTAGTTTTCAGGGGAATAGATGCAATGACTTTGTTTAGATTACCGATTGCAGTCTATTCTGGTGGTACTTTATGCAAGAGGGATCTGTGTCGCACATTGAGGATCAAGCAAATAGTAGACAAAATAGTATACTTTTTGAAGTCATTATTTTTATAGGAATGAAATGTGAAGAGCAGTAGGGAAATGGGAAAGGAAAATGTTAGTTGAATAGAGGGGTTCTTTCAAGTTTTAATGGATTTTTTTCACTGTATGCTTAGTATTGGTGGAGTCTGAAGCAAAGATGAGACCCTTTATCTCTCTTATACCTTGGTGCATCGCAATGTGCCCATGTATACTGTGGATAGAGACTTAAGATGATGGCTCCTGACTACCTCCTTTCAGTTATGGCGGTTCATGACCTTAGACTGTTACTTGTCTCTTTTTGCTGTTACCTTGATTGATATACCGATTATGATTGAGAAGCAAAAATCTGCTTATACATAGATCACTTCACTTCTTGTCTAACTTTATTTCTCGATTAACAGGTTCATATGGATCATTGGAATTCATATAAAAGTCCTCCAAGTGAGCAGCAATATTCTGAGGAAGTCAACTATGCTGCTGAAATGGAGCCATCTGAAAATGAGCTTTCTGACTACATAAGTGCTTGCGCAAAGCTTTGGGAACTCGATTTTAACCGCTTGAATCCTGGAAAGGACTATGAACTTGATGTTGGTGAGGGGAAGAGGGTCCATGAGAGGGAAGACATGGCAGAAGCCAGTCTCTTTACATGGGTTGATGAAAATGTTCTCAGAAAACCTACTTTTTCTCGGTTCTGTGCCCTGCTTGACAACTACAACCCATATGAAGGATGTAAGGAAAAAGTATCTGAGGAAGAAAGACGGGAACAAGCTGCATTTATTGAAGAGATTAGTAGGACTGCGCCTATCAAGTACCTTTACAAGTATCTTTCAAAAACAGGTCTCTTCACTGATAATTACCAGGAATTTAAGAGTATGCTAAAAGATCTCTGGTTTACTCTTTATGGTCGAGGTGGTACTTCTGGATGCTCATCTTCTTTTGAACATGTCTTTGTTGGAGAAATCAAGTCACGTGGAGAACAACAGGTCTCAGGCTTCCACAACTGGCTTCAGGTATATGCCTGTACTGCAATCACTAGTCATAGGAATTCAGAAGCAGTTCTTATAAAGTCGCATCTCCATTCTTTATATGTTTATGTTAAGCACTTTCTTTGTAATATGCATAGTGATTTGACATGTAAACTTCTGTTTCCTTTCTGTATCCCTTTCTTTTTTAACGTGTTTTGGTCTATTAAATATCAACTATTCTGTTATCAATGGTGTCTGTGCTTCAGTATTGACTAACCATTAAACTTCGTTTTTTCCTGCAGTTTTACCTTGAGGAGGCAAAAGGGAAGGCAGACTATCAAGGTTATATCTTGCCTCGCAGAAATAGGCAGTTTGTAAGTAACTAACATTATGGTGTATTTTTGTTATTTGGAGCAAAGATGCAGTAATTATGGTTTATATAAAATTAGAAACGACATCCCTCAGTTGATACACTCCCTATGTTGTTGTCTGTTTATCACTTTTTCTGGAACTTTCTGCTCGTAATTCATTACTTATGTAATGACAAACTGTCATACAAAGCCCCCTACGAGATGATCATCTTTTATAAGTGACTGGACATTCTTTCCTATGTGACTCTCTTTCACCTTAAGTACCACAATCTGGGTGCTAAAGAGTAGTATTTCTCGTAACAGATGAGATTTGCTTATGACTTATGAGCAATACAGAATCAGTAAAATTATGTGTATAGAACACGTAACGGATGAATATATGTAAGAAGTGGAGCTCATCTTTGTGTAGATTTTGTTCATTTTATAATATGTAGCATAGTTAATCTTGATTGGAGAAGAAACAGTATAGGTCGTATAACAGTTTATACACTGAGTGAGTGGATGACTTTGAAAAGTGCCTACTTTATACATAAGAAAACAACTCCCTATTTCTATTTCATAGTTCTCTGATTATCTCAGTACAGTACAATGTCCAAAGCTCTAATTTATTCAAGATTCAAGGGGTCAGCCTTTTTCATGATTATCAAGTTTGTTGTGCCTAGACTAATAATGTACTCGTATCTTCTTAGCAAATTATGTCACATACATACTGAATTGTATTTCTTTTTTCTTGTTTCCTTGATTTATCTCTACCAATGTCTCTTTACAGCCAGATGCCGAGACACAGTTGCTTACAGTTCAATTTGAGTGGAATGGAGTCCTCAAATCTCTCTCAAGCATGTTCATAGGAGTAAGCCCTGAGTTTGAACTAGCCCTCTACACACTATGTTTCTTTGCAGGAGGAGAGGACAACCACATAGAGGTCGGTCCATACCCGGTTAATATCAAGTGTTATCGTCTAGGAAACAAAATTGGTTCTGCATTTCCTATCGCTGAGGCCTGATCAGCAAGGAGTAAAACTCTGCTCTTAGTCATAAACTCTGAATGTTCTAAAGAAGCTATATTATATAAACTCCCTTGTATTTTGAAATCCCTATTTGATACACAACATTGTTCTGCTACAAAGTATTGATGGTAGCAGTTTTACAGGAAGGAAAGCATGTGCCTCCCTAAGTAAATTATTTCTCTTATACTGTGCTATTCGAGTGCATTTTTCCATTTGTATTTAGAATTTTCCTTAGCATGCATCACAGTTCAAAGTAATCAACATTAAATCATTTTTTTATTGGTGTTTAGAGAGCCACAAGTAGAGTTGTCAAAAGTTGACCCGACTCGAAATACCGACTCAAACCCAATCATTAACCGACCCATTTGAACCCAAAAAAATGGTGAACCAAACCCAACCTGAAACCAACCCTAGACACGAGTATGTATGTGAGACCCGAACCCAAAATGAACTGACCTGGAGATGACCCGACCCGAATGTAACCCGTAAATTATTGACCTGAACCGAAATTGATCCAAACCCGTTTTTACCCGTCAAAACCCGAATTTAACCCTGACTTGTTACTAACCTGACCTGAATTCAACCCGACCCATTCCTAACCCAACCCGAATTTAACCCAACCTGTTCCAAATCCGATTCGAAATCAACCTGACTTGTTATTGACCTGACCCAAATTCAACCCGACTTGTTATTGACCCGACCCGAGTTTTACCAAACCTATTACTAACCCGACCTAAAAATTCAACCCGATCTGTTACTAACCCGACTCGAAATCAACACGCCTTGTTATTGACCCGAACTAAATTCAACCCAAATTGTTCCTGGCTCGATTTCAAATCACCTTAAATGCAATTTAGATCGCCTTAATATTGTTGATCAAAGCATTTTGTCTAAGGAGACCAAGTCAGTCCACGCCAGCAAAAGAAAGGAGCATCATCATCAAATTTAAGAGTTATATATAGTATACTTCCTCCGTTTTTATTTTATTGCACCATTAGGACTTTTACGCTATTCACTTAATCTTCTTTAACCATCATTTGTGATTTATCCATTAGGATAAATATAGTCATGTGGGGTCTAGTTAGATTCGTCTCAAAAATTCTTTTCAAATATCAAATTTTTATAATTTTTACAAAAGTATAATTGAAGATATTAATAACTAAAGTAACGCATTGGCAAGCATGAAATCCCTCATGGTGCAATAAAAAAAACCGGAGGAAGTATATTTGTTATATGGTCAAAGGAGATAATTATCTTCCTAAATTATAAACTATAGTTCCCTAGTATATTGTCATATATATTATAGTCAATGGAAATAATTAGCTTGATAAAAATGATAATTATCTATTTATAGTTAGCTGAACCCAAATATAACCAGACTTGGAAACGAAACGACCTGATTGTAACCTGCAAATTATTGACTTGAACATAACCCGACTTGACTCCGAGAATGACCCGACTAGGAAATGACCCAACCTGATTATAACCCGCAAATTATTGACTAGAACCGAACCCGACTTGAACACGAGAATCACCCGACTTGAAAATGACTCGACCTGATTATAAACCGCAAATTATTGACTTGAACCGAACCCGACTCAAACCCGAGAATGACCCGACCTGATTCTAACACGCAAGAACTCGACTCGAACCCGAGAATTACCCTAACATGTTTGAACCCGTGAAAACCCGAATCAAACCCGACCTATTGTTCACCCGACCCAAATGTAACCCGGCCTGTTATTAACCAGACCCAAACCCGATAAGAAGTATGACCCGACTCAAGCATGACCCAACACAAACCCGACCTGCATAGGTTATGGAAGTAATCCGAATTGACCCGACCCGAGTTGACCCGACCCACTCTTACCGACCCAAACCCAACCCATTTACCCAAATTGACAACTCTACTCGAAACCACCAAAATTTCTCAAAAAGCGTGGATATTAGCCTTCCATTTTGTTATTTTTTGATTTTTTTTCACCCGTAAATAAAAATTGCCGAAATGTTTATCATGGTCCCTAATATCCTCCGGGAGTTCAATTGGCTAGGTGGAACCATCCAATTTGCCTTTAAACGACCAATTTACCGGTTTATAACTTGCACCGATCTCATTAACTCAAGCTTACCACGAACATTTACGACAACATATAATGATCATATATGGATTAAAATAGCATTATATGACCCCGAGATGTATCCCCTAAAATCTCAATACTTTTCGACACCGGGCCCCGAAACATTCGAAATTTCTCAAAAAGCGTGGATATTAGCCTCAATTTTGGAATTTTTTGACTTTTTTCGCCCGTATATAATTGTCTAAATGTTTACCATGGTTCCAAATACCCTCCAAGAGTCCAATTGGGTGGGTGGAACCATCCAATTTGCCTTTAAACGACCAATTTACCGGTTTACAACTTACACCGATTTCATCAATTCAAGCCTACCACGAACATTTATGACAACAAATAATTATCATATATAGTTCCAAACGACATTATATGACCCCCAAGATATATTCCCTAGAATTTCAAAAATAAAATTGACACCGGACCCCGAAGACTCCAAAAATTCTCAAAAAGCGTGGATAATAACCTTCAATTTTCGAATTTTTCGACTTTTTTTCGCCCGAAAATAAAAATTGCCGAAATGTTTACCATGGTCTCTAATACCCTCCGGTAATCCAATTGGGTGGGTGGAACCATCCAATTTGCCTTTAAACGACCAATTTAACGGTTTACAACTTGCGCCGATTTCATTAACTCAAGCCTACCACAAACATTTATGACAACATATAATGATCATATATGGTTCCAAACGGCATTATATGACCCCGAGAAGTATCCCCTACAATCTAAAGGTTTTTCGACACCGGGCCCCAAAACCTACAAAATTTCTCAAAAAGCGTGGATATTAGCCTTCAATTTTGGAATTTTTTTACTTTTCTTCGCCGCAAATAAAAATTTCCGAAATATTTACCATGATCCCTAATACCCTCCACGAGTCCATTGAGGTGAGTGGAACCATGCTATTTGTCTTTAAATGGCCAATTTACCGGTTTACAACTTGCACTGATTTAATTAACTCAAAGCTACTTGCTTTTAAACGGCTATTTATGACAACATATAATGATCATATGGTTCCAAATGACTTTATATGACCCCAAGATGTATCCCCTTAAATCTCAAAAAATTTCGACACCAGGCCTCGAAACATCCAAAATTTCTCAAAAATAGTGTATTTCAATTTTGGAAATTTTTTACTTTTTTTCGCCCGGAAATAAAAATTGCCGAAATGTTTACCATGGTTCCTAATACCCTCAGGGAGTCCAATTGGGTGGGTGGAATCAACCAATTTGCCTTTAAACGGCTAATTTAGCGGTTTACAACTTGCACCGATTTCATTAACACAAGCCTACCACGAACATTTATGAAAACATATAATAATCATTTATGGTTCCAAACGGCATTATATGACCCCGAGATATATCTCCTAAAATTTCATGACTTTTCGACACCGGGCCCCGAATCCTTCAAAATTTCTCAAAAACAATGGATATTGGACTTCAATTATGAAATTTTTTAACTTTTTTTCATCTGGAAATATAAAAATTGTCAAAATGTTTACCATGATCACTAATACGCTACGAGAGTCCAATTGGGTGGGTAGAACCATCCAATTTGCCTTTAAACGGCCAATTTACCGTTTTACAACTTGCACCGATTTCATTAATTCAAGCCTATTGCGAACATTTATGACAACATATAATGATCATATATGGTTCCAAACGGCATTATATGACCCCATGATGTATCCCCTATAATATCAAGCCTTTTCGACACCGGACCATCAAACCTCCAAAATTTCTCAAAAAGAGTGGATAATTAGCCTTCAATTTTGGAATTTTTTTACTTTTTTTCGCCCGAAATAAAAATTGGCAAAATATTTACCATGGTTCCTAATACCCTCCAGTAGTCCAATTAGGTGGGTGGATCCATCCAATTTGCTTTTAAACGGCCAATTTACCGGTTTAAACTTGCACTTTTTCATTAACTCAAGCCTACCACGAACATTTTTGACAACATATAATGGCCATTTATGGTTTCAAACGTCAATATATGACCCCGAGATGTATCTAATAAAATCTTATTTCTTTTCGACACTTGGCCCCGAAACTTTCAACATTTCTCAAAAAGCGTGGATATTAGCCTGCATATAGGATTTTTTTGGCTTTTTTTCGCCCGAAAATAAAATCTGCCGAAATGTTTATCATGGTCCCTAATATCCTCTGGGGGTCCAATTGGGTGGGTAGAACCGTCCAATTTGCCTTTAAACGACCAATTTACAAGTTTACAACCTGCACCAATTTCATTAACTCAAGTCTACCACGAACATTTATGACAACAAATAACGGTCACATATGGTTCCAAACAACATTATATTACCCCAAGATCTATTCCATTGAATTTCAAGACTTTTAGTCACCGGATCCCGAAGACATCAAAATTTATCAAAAAGCGAATGCCTTTAATTTTTGACTTTTTTTGACTTTTTTCACCCGTAAATAAAAATTTCCAAAATAACATGGTCCCGAATAACCTCCGAAAGTCCAATTGTGTGGGTGGAACCATCCAATTTACCTTTAAATGACCCATTTATCGGTTTACAACTTGCACTGATTTCATTAACTCAAGCTTACAACGAACATTTATGACTAGGGCTGGCAAACCCTGACCCGACACGAAAACCCGACCCGAAGTTACTGAGAGAGACCCGAACCCGACCTGAACCGAACCCGAACAACCCGAATTCGACCCGATTTGACCCAAATTTCATATTACGTAATAATATTAAGTTTTACACTATTTTTAATAGTTTCTAAGCATAACCCGAAATCGACCCGAAATCTGACCTGAACTCGACCTGCTGACCCGAATTGCCACCCCTATTTATGACAACATATATTGATCATATATGGTTCCAAACGGCATTTATATGACCCCGAGATGTAATCCTAAAATTTCAAGGCATTTCGACAACGGGCCTTGAAATCTAAAAAATTTCTCAATAAGCATGGATCTTAAACTTTAATTTTGGAAATTTTTTGACTTTTTTTTCGCCTAGAAATAAAAATTGTCAAAATATTTACCATGGTCCGTAATACCCTTCGGGAGGCCAATTGGATGGTGGAACCATCCAATTTGCCTTTAAA